AAATGTAGTACCTACTAAGCAGTATGCGATTTCGGACGCAGCGACTGACTTCGATAGACAATTTCCTTAAAATCCCATGCGTAACTGGCAGACATTATAGTTTCAAAATAAAAGCCTTATTATTTTAAATATTGCGCATACAGAGTATTCCATAATTTAAATGACATTATTATGTAATTCAACAGCTATCAGTTAAATATAACTTAGTAAATAATAATTCCGATTCGTGAAATAGTTTAGAGTCGGATCTTTTCAATGAATTGGATTAGTTCATACGGTTCAATAGCTCGGTTTCTGGGGCGGTTCTTTGAAATAAACTGTTCAAATGAACCGATTCGCTGAAACGTTCTCTTAATAGTGACGCATGACTCGTGAATGAATCATTCGTTCAAGTCGGATCTTCTCAATGAATTTGATTCATTCAGGTTTGAACGAACTATTCAAAAGAACCGATTCGCGGAAAACAGCCGGACTTCCCCCGACAAAGTGCGCACGCGCACCTCAAACTTATGTTCAGTTTGTCGCAGTGAATTGTGGGATAGAAGTTCACAGATATGGCGTCCCGTGTGCTTGCATATTGTGTGCGCTCCGTCGCCCGCGCCACTGCAAGGTTAAATCATGGCAACGCGTTCACAAGATCCGCCTGCGCGCCTCTCGTCTCAAAGCAGCGCCCGCTCTGTGTCATTTCGTGCAGCCAGCGGACGAGGTGGACTGAACTAGTGCGGGTGAGCGTTCTGCGGATGGGGAATGTTTGTCTCTGTGGCCTACTACACAGTGACCTACCTGTGTCTTTCCGTGCATGACAGCTGGCAGCCATACAAAGTTTAAGTAGTGTGCATTCACAACATACATCAACCACATCAGTCACTAGTCTTTTCCGGCTGTGACCTGCAAGGCTTTAAATAGCTGATCAGTTAACTTAATAAAACACCAAGAGTTTATACATACTAGACTGTGTGCATCTTTACAGCTACTACTTCCGTCAGTCTCCTTGCATCTTTCATTGTCGCTATTACTGAAGTGGCTGTTCACTTCAAAAATCAAAATTGTCAACATGTCGTTCCAAACCTGTATGGTGCGACTTCATTTCTTATGTGGAACACAGATGATGTTGGACAGAATGACAGCCACATAATTTAACATTCTGTTCAACATCTTTTATTACAGAACCAAAAAATGAAGAGATAAGAGAGAAAAGAGAGATGTCTCTCCCCCCGTCCCCCTGTAACAAACAAAAGATGTCGGACAGAATGTTGGAGGCTGATAGATTCGGTCACATTTTACGTTCTAATGATCTTCCTTCTAATGAACCTGGTATTGTGCACGTGGACTTTTATTGGTTCTGTGATAAATTGCTTATGTTCCTCATCTGCAAGTCATTTTGGACAAAGCATCTTCAAAGTGAATCAATGTAAATGTTTGAATGTCTCTAGATTTCAGGTCCGTCTGTTCATCCGAGTCGGCATTACGGGGATCTTCCACCCCTCACTTTAGAGAACATTGAAGAGCGTGTCTTGTACGTCCTTAAACTGTATGACAAGATCAGTCCAGACAAGGTGAGAGATACTTTATACTTACTGTA